AGGAGCATCCCACAAGGGGCCCAGCCTCGTCGTCGGTCCAGGGGCCTCTGGGTTCACCGGAGCCTTGGGGAAGCCACACATGTCCGAGAGGATCGGCTCCAGAGGTAGCCGGAGCCTGTGACACCAGGGCCCGGCCTCCCTGGACGTGGGTCTTTGGGGAAATTAAGGGCAGCGTGTAGCCAGTGACCCCAGGAACAATAGCCCAGGTGTGAGACTTTACTCTCTCAGCACACACACGCGTGCACATGCACACACGCGTGCCCCCACACTCGTGGAGGATACAGTGCTGTGCGGGGGGCGCTCACACACCCTCACCAGGGCAGGGGCCCTGCTTCCATCCCAGCGCCGCGGCCCCGCCGCCCCCAGCGAGCACCCCGTGCTGTCGTCAGAGGCTCCGTCGCCTGGAAGGCAGCACGTGGTGGGATGAAGGCTCCACGCATGCGGAGCGGTTTCGGCTCAGAGGACGGCAGTTCAGCTCCCGTAGGTGAGATGGGCGCCCTTTGTTTCCACCAGGAGCTTTGGTGCAAGGGACTCAACTTTGCCCCGAGCAGGGATGCCTCCCAAGTCCCGGGGAGAACAGTTGAAGCAGAAAAGGGGCTTCTGAAGCTTTCCTTTGGAGAAGCGGGAGTTGGCGCGCGGTGACACGGAATTTCCACACTGCTGGCTGGGCGGGATGGGGGGGCGTCTGGCGGCTGGCTCGGCCTTGGCCCGCAGCAGGGAGGGGCGCCGTCCCTGTCCCCAAGCCCCCAGAGCAGGGGGCAGGGTTTCCGAGGCCCAGGCATCCATCATGGGGACTAATGTGATTCCCGAAGGGGCGCTGGGGAAGAGGGAGTGTCAGGCTGGACTTCTCCCGACGCTTCCAAAGAAAGGACGCTGGGCTTGGGGGGTGGGGGACATCTGTGTGGATCCACCTGTAATGACCCTAAGGACGCGAGTTAATATTTGCAGAGAGCTTCGCGCAGCGCTGGCCCTCAGTAAGCCCTGTGTTAAACAAATCAACGCAAACAGGGAAATCTGCGGTGCGCTGAGGGCCGGAAGGGGCTAAAGCGTGGAAATGAAGCAGTGACGAGCCTGAGTGCCGGAACGGAGCCGGGAGCGAGGCCAGCGGCACCGAGGAACGCCAACTGAGCCAGACCAGAGGGGCTTCTGGGAGGAGGTGGCGGCTGGCCGAGCCGGGCGCGCTCCTGGGGTTCTTAGGAATTCTCCGAAGGCGAGCATGGGTTAGCAAAACACATGAGGCGTCTGAAAACCGCTCTGAAGGAAATCACGTCCGGGGATCGGGCAGAACGTCACCCTCTGGCTGTGCTCCAGAACTTGGGGCTGGTGGTTTCTTGCCCACGGGGTCCCCCTTGCCTCGGCTCGGGGCTCTGACATCATGCGAGGGAAGGAAGTGGCCGCCCTGTCTCAGCTATCAGCTCCCAGGCACGTCTTTCCCGGGGGGGGGGGGGGGGGGGGGGGGGGGGAGGGGGAGGGATTACACCCCGAGGCGCATTTAGCGCATGAGGTCATATACCCATTTGGCGCGTCTTTCCCACGCGGGTTGCCCACCGGACAGCAGGAGGGGTGCGGGGCCCGCGCAGGGGCAGGACGGGCCGCTGAGATCACAGCAGCCCTGACTCATGAGTGGCTCACTCCTTCCATGCTGCCTTCCCCACCCGGCTGCCTGCGTGAGTCAATAGCATTTATTTAGCGCCTCGGAGTGCAGAGATCCCATAGTGGGGAGAGGGCTGCCCGTCGGGGGGATGGCCAGAGCCCATACGACCCCCTCCACCAGCTGAGGGCAGCCCCGGGGCCACGTGTGCCTTTTGCAAAAGCAAACTGAATCTTCCGCTTCGTCTCTCTCTCCAGTTCCGTGTGCGCGTGCGTGCCTGTGCGTGCGTGTTGAATTCGTGGAATGAGCCCTGGTTTGGAGGCTCAGAGACCTGGATGGAAAGGCAGATCCCCGCCTTGGCTGTGGCCTGAAGCCAAGCACATTACCCTCCCCGCCTCTGCCCTCCCCTCCCATCGGAGGGCCCGGGCGATAAGATCAGCCTCCCGGCCTCCCTTGAGAGGCAGGCAGGGGCGGACGGGGAGCCTGGGAGCCGCACCCGACAGGTATTGTCGTTGTCCTTGTCACGCTGGCGGCCATCCCACGGCACAGCCTGGGTCCCCAGCCCAACAGCGACCCGGCCCCAGATGTCAGCGGCGCCGCCGCGGGGAAGCCCAGCCCAAGTGCGCCACTTTAGAAGAGGCCACCGCTCTCATTGAATAACCCTTGACCTGGGGCTCACCGTGGCCTGTCCTGCCTCACTTTCCAAAGCTTGGTTTGTTTGCCTTTTCGCTCGGCTGCTGGTGGCTCAAGCGGGTGCAGCTGGGCAGGGCACAGAGCAAGATGTCCCTTCCCATGGGCAATGGCAGGGAGGAGAAATAGATGTTGCTGGGCGGCCCTCTGAGCTTCCTGCAAGGGAGGCTGTGTTGCAGGTGAGGGGGAGCTCGGCCCCGTCCCCGCTCCCTGTGCGCCCCCCCCCATGCTTGTACCCCTCGCGATCGCTAAACTGTCAGCAAAGACTCGAGAGCATGACGGCGGCTGACGTCGCAACGGCCCGAGATGGCAGCGTCGTGGCAGAGCAGGGCGGGCAGTGAAGCCCGGAACGTCCCGTAATAAAATGCCCCATTTAGACTGATGCGACTAGTTTCTTACTGATTCATGAGCAGGGACTTAATCCTGCCGGTGACATCTGTCCCTCTGGGTTTTAAATGATGAGAATCACTGAGGCAGAAAGCGCGAAAGGAGCGCGCCAGGGTTTCTGGAGGTCAGGTTTACAGTCAGCGGCTCAGAGTAGAGACCCAGGGCCGCCAGGACAGCCATAGGCGGGGAGCCAGTGGGGGAGGCTCTCCGTCAGCACTCAAGGGCCACCTCCCGGCCGCGGGGGACTGTCCGTGTACCCAGAATGGAGGGATTCTCGTTTTTGCTCCTTTTCCCCAACTCATACCTCGTAGACTTCCACGCGATCCTTCATCAGCTTGAAAATAAATTTAGAAAGTCAATGCGTTAAGGTTACACAATCTTGGTTGTTTACCAACAAAGATAAGAGAATGAAGTTGCATAATCCTCTGTGTGTGTGTGTGTGTGCGTGAGATTCCTCCCAGCCCTGAAATCTTGAACTTTTAATCTTTATTTATTTTTGAGAGAGACAGAGCGTGAGCGGGGGAGGGTCAGAGAGAGAGGGAGACACAGAATCTGAAACAGGCTCCAGGCTCCGAGCTGTCAGCACAGAGCCCGACGCGGGGCTTGAACTCACAAACTGCGAGATCCTGACCTGAGCCGAAGTCGGACGCTTACCCGACTGAGCCCCCCGGGCGCCCCTGAGATCTTGAACTTTTAAGGAGGACGTCTCTCCAGCGTGGCAAAGGCCACCGAGCGCCGACCGGGGTGAGGACCGGCGCGCTTCTCCAAACCCGCCCTCGCCGTGCAAGGTGCAGACAAAGGGTCTTGTAGGGCCCCTCCGCGGCCCTTGGCAAGGCTGGCCCCAGGACACAGTAACCTTCCCCCGCCTCCTGGAGTCCGAGAAACTCACAGACCTGAGCCTAAGTGGGGGTGAGGGAGAAGGAAGCGCCGCACTGAGAAGATGACAGCAGTAACAGTGGCCGCTGCCCAGCCTTTCCCTGCGCAGGTGCTGAGCCGAACGGCAGCTTCTCACACACTTGACCTCCGCGGGAGGAGACGGACGCTCTGCGAGGCTGAGGCTTGACCGAAGCCACGCGGCTGGAAAGGGCCAGAGCTGGAGCCGGACCCCACCCACCTCCCCCACCCCATCCTCTGTGATTCCAGAATCCACCCTTGGCATGCGAGCGTGCCGGTGCCATCACCACCTTGCAGGACGGCTTTATAACCCCTTCTGTAGGCCCGCAAGCTTCCTTGGTGGCCATTTGGCAAGCGGCTGTTGAACACCGATTGTGTGAAATAAACCTGGTGGGAAACGGGGTGGAGGAAAGAAGTCCTGGAGTCCAGGTGCAGAGTTTTGGGCTTGAGTGCCTGGGGCAATCCAGAACGACTTCCCGGAGGAGGGGGGTGCTCAGTACACATCCTGAGGAACTAGCAAGATGCGGGGAGGCAGAGGGAAAGGAGACCTCATTCCCCCTGGGCAGGGTTGCCAAACCGGAGCCCGGCTGCTCCTGGAGACCTTTTGTCCGGAGGGAGGATTAAAAACATGTCCTGAGAAGCACCCGCCTAACCACCCGCCCGCCTACCGCGTGCCAGGTCCCTCTCAGTCACCGTCCCTCCCTCAGGGAGGCAGTAGAGCGTCGTGCAAGGACTCCAGGCATGTGTGCAGGAGCCCCAGGCCCCTTCCCTGGCCTCCGAAGCCCTCGCCCCCCCTCCAGAGTGAGGACCAGGCTGTGCAGTGAAATGGGACTGGCTGCTGGTCACGGAAGACTAAGCCTTAAGCAGATGGGGGCTCAGAGAGATGCTGACCAGGGAGGGAGACGCAGCTGGAGGGGGTGGGCCCTTAGGAAGCAGGGGAGGCTCCCTGGAGGAGGTGTCTGGGTGGTAGCAAAAGTCCCCCAGGGCGAGCATTCCGACTCCACCTCTCCCCTGCAAGGTGACCCCCCCCCCGCCCCCCGTAGAGCGAGGCTTGGAGACTTCTAGTGAAGGCAGGGGCTGCTGGAAGCTTCCTCCCGGTAGGAAGGCTTGGCCCACCTCAAGGACTCCGAGGGGCGCTCTCCCGGGTGAGCAGAAAACTTGGAGGGGCCCCAGGAACGGGGCGCTTTCTTCCTGTGTTTAAATTTCCTCGGAAGCTGCCCGCGCGGCCGCGCCCCCGCCCCAGCGCCTGCAGCGCCGGCCGCGCGGGGGCCCGCAGGGGGGCGGCCGCAGCGCGCGGGGCGCGCGGGCAGGGCGGGGGCGGGCGGGGCGGGCGGGGCGGAGGCCCGGCCCCCTGCGAGCGCGCCAACGCTGCCCCGTCCGCCCCGCAGAGGCCGCCGGGGCCGTGGATGCGGAGGGCGCGCCGCCCCGCCGGCCGGGCGCACAGGCGGCCGCGATGCGGGTCAACGAGAAGTACTCGACGCTCCCGGCCGAGGACCGCAGCGTCCACATCATCAACATCTGCGCCATCGAGGACATCGGCTACCTGCCGTCCGAGGGCACGGTGAGTGCGGCGGCCGCGCCCGGGGCGTGGGGGCGGGGGGCGCGCCCGGGCTCGCGGGCGCGCGGGGAGGGACCCCTGGGCACCCCGCGCCGCCCCCTCCCCCGACGCCCCCTTGCCATGGGTGCCGGCTCTGGCGGCCGGGTGGGGGTGGGGGGAGCCGCCTCGCCGCCACCCTCTGGCGACAGCCGCGCCCTCCTGGGGTGGGACCCTCTGGCTGCGCGAGCCCCTCACCTGCCAGGGCACCGGGATCCCCTGAGCGCGCGCGCAGCTCGTCCCGGGCGGCACGGGGACGCTGGTGTGTCCCCACTTCTTCCCGCGCGGTCGCGTCCCCAGCCGGCGCCCCGCGGCAGTGGGAGCCGGCTGCGGGGGCCCGCGCCCGCCGTCCACGTGCTTGGGGGCCCCTCTCCGGAGTCTGCTACCCCCACCATTCTCTCTGGGCTAGATTCAGGGGTCACAGCGATCCCTGGAGGGCAGAACTCGGCTGTGAGGGGTTTCGGTTAAAGTTAGAACAAAGTTGGCCTGAGAGTGAAGGAAGGGCTGAGAGGCGCCCTCAGAGGGAGCGGAGGGGAGCCCGGGGTGCTCACTCGGAACCAGGGATCAGACTCCCCTTCACCCTCCTCCCCACGGCAGCTTTCGCTGAGGCCCCAGCCCCCTTTCTTTGCTCTGACCCAGCCGGGATCCAGGCCTGCCCGTCGGGTTCAGGGAGGTGCCTGCGGGATGGGGTGCTGGCAAGGAGGCTCTCAGTGATCCAGGGAGGGCAGACGCCCCCCGGGCCTCGCGCCCCCTCTGCGCTGGGGCATGGCCACGGGGCTGATGGAGAGAGCCGTCTGCCTGTGAGAAATACCATTGGCGTCAGACACTCGGAGCCTTCATTTCAGCAAACGCTGTGCCCACGTGGGGTCAGGCACCACAGGGAAAGGGAAGGGCACCCATCTGCCACTTGGTGAGTGGGGACGGAACGAAGCCCAGGACAGTGGCAGAGGGAGAGTTTCGTAGAAGGAGGCCAGAGCTGAGCCCATTTATTCTTCACGGCTCCGTGGGGGTAGGTGCTGCTGGTACCAGTGAGCACACTGAGGCCCGGGGAGGAGGGGGTCGCCCACCAGCTGGGAGGACTCCCTTGGACCCAGCTGCAGAAGCAGGTGGCACGGACAGCCCTGGGGAGAAGCAGCCTCCTGGGGGAGAAGGAGCTGGTTATACCCGTAACGGGGCTTGGGTGGGGCCTTCCAGACAAATCTCATACGAGAGACCCGCAGGTGGGAGTGGGGGGCACTAGAGGTGGCGCCAGCCAGAGAGATGGAGAGGAGTGGGCATTCCAGAGGTGGACCCACTTCCACTGGATGATCGGCTGGATCCGAAACCAGGAGCGGAGCCCTTAACGACGGCCCTGGGCTCTGGAGCTGTAGTTCAGGGGTCTGCTGCTCATCAGGACCCGGAAACTCTCCGTACGCCCCGGAGCCTGGTGAGGGCCACGAAATCTGCGAAGACTTGGCCCTTCGTTAGAGGTCTTCACGGTCTAGAAACGCATAGACAGGCCCCTGATGAGACTGTTGATTTATTTCGCACACACCCTTTACTACAGGGTGTTTGGGGGCCGTCCCTGGGCGTGGAGGGCCGTGGATCAGGGGCTCTGACCCCAGGAAGGAGAGGTGGCCGAGTGGTGTCCTGGCAGTGAAATGTCTACCGGCCTGGCAGGAAGCTCGACAGAGAGAGACTGCAAGGGGATCCCCAGCCCAGCTCCAGCCAGTAATTGTTGCTCAGTCATCACCCTGAGTCACCCAGGGAAGGCGACTCTGTGCATGCAAAGGCCAGAGGGCATGGGCTGCGTATCAGAGGGCTCCTCTCCCGTTCCCCGACGAGCTTGCTCACGTGCAGCCACAGCGCGGATGTCGTTCAGCTTGGCCATCGGGACTCCCAGTCCCATGCAGGCTACGCTTCCCAGCTGGAGTCCCGGGGCCTCTGCGTTTCCTGTCATTCCCAAGTTCAAGGGTAAGAGTCACCTCGTTTCTGTACCAGAAGGTGCAAGAAATGACTCAAAAGCCAGAGGCCAAGTCAAATGCACTTTATTTCGGTGGAGTTTTCTTTGCGCTTATCTTTGTGAGCTTCCGCTCTCCTGCTGGCTGTCGGCAGCCCAGAGAGAAGTGCCAGGCGCTGGGGTCGGCCCGCCCGCGCCCCCCTGTGTGTCACCGATCGGAGATGGGCCGTGTGGGGGTCGTGGGGAGTGCCCGACGTCACAAACTGATTGGTAGTGCCGGTGATTTCATTTTTAAAGTTTGGGGAAGCCAAGTGGAGTTCGAAAGTGAGTATTCACAGAGCCCCAGAACCAAAAGAAACTCGGCAGGTGGCCGGTTTCCGTCTCCCCGTTTTGGGACCGGGGGAGGGGTGGCATAGCAGGTTCTCTTCGCCTCAGTTAGACTTGCCGGGCTCTGGCCAGCTCGCACCAACGTGTGACCTCAGCTCCCGCAGCTCCCGTTCCAGCTGCAAAGCCACGTAAACAAACTGTGGTCCCGGGCCTGATCCTCTCTTCTGCCGTCTCCTCGGAGTCTGGGGAGGCAGGTGCGGACCGCATGTAGACTGCCCTCCCGCCGTCTGTGGGGCTTGGGCAGGCCTGCCGCGTGGAGGGGACCTCGGTCCCCCGGCATGCCCCAGCGTGACCTCAGGAAGTCGTTTCTCTTCCGCCACGGTTACCGTCCTTCCCGGAGCTCTTCCTGCCAGACTCCGGGGATGGGTGATCTTGAGAACGCTTTCACATTTCCCGTCACGCGAGTCCACCTAAGGGTCCCGTGACTTGGGTCGAGGAGATGATTGTGTCCCCAGTTTACAGATGGAAAAACTGAGGCTCAGAGCTGGAGAGTGTTGTGTTTACGGTACCCTCGATCTGGCGACGCCCGCCAGTAATTGTGCAGAGTGCACGCTCCGGTGGCCCTTCATTCACGCATGCGCTCATTCATTCCTCAACCACGCCTTCGGCACCAGGCGAAGCGGTCTCCCAGGGGGTTGCTAACCCCTTACACTCACTCAGATGGGATCACCCCCACTTGATAAAGCAGAGAAGGCCCCTCGCCGGAGGGAGGGCTGGGGCTCACACCGGTGCACCCAGCTCCCTTGGTAACTGAAAACCCTGGACTCGGCACTCACCATCTTTCACTTGTGGTCCACTTGGACCAGGAGATTGTTTTTCCTCCCCTGGTTCTTTATCTGTGCTTGTGTCAGTTTCCAGTGAGAGCAAACTCCTCTTGTGGGTTCATCGTATGGTGGCCCTGCTGTGAGCCCTCCACGTACAGGCACGTTAAAACCTTACAGTGACCCTTTGAGGGGGATCATATTAGTCCCCCAGACCCTCATTTTGCAAGGAAGGTTCCAGAAGGAGCTCCCTGAGGTGACACAGCCAGAAGTGCACAGCCGGTCTTGGAATGCAGGTGGAAGGGCGGTCATTCTTGACGGGGCCTCCGTGCTGCCGCCCTCCCAGGTTGGGGGAGGTGTTTAGGGGATACCCCCGCCCCACTACAAAGGCCCTGAAAGGTCTTGGTCAGGGCCCAGCAGACACATGATTCTTGTTCAGTTTTCAGCCTGGTAACCTTTCCTGCCTCGTGTTGGTGGGGAGGGTCCCCAGGTCAGTTTCCCTGCCCTCTGGCCTGACGGGCTCACTCTGAATTTCCTTCCCACTCTCTGTGGCTTTTTTGGTCCACTTTGTTCAACTTCGGCTCTTATCTCGGGCAACCGGGAGCATTTACGGGGCCCCCGGCAGCGCCAAGCCCCGCGTGTGCAGCTGGTTCTGGACGGAGGTGTGCTACGGGCAGTCCCAGCGCCCTGCTTGGAGGCCCCTGGGAGTGAAGACCTTGTGAATAGATCATTCCAGGGCAGCCCCGGCCCAAGAGACTCTGCTGCCAGAGTGGCCGGGGGCCCCCAGGGCTCTGGGTTCGGGGGGCCTCACGTCCGGGGAGCTGGTGGCATCATGACCCACAGAGCAGGGAGGGCGGGCACGCAGGCGGGGGGGACGCAGCGTGTGCAAAGGCAAGGGTAAGGGGGCTGGGGAGGGCGGTACAGGCAGCTCCTCCCCCCCGGCACCCGGCTCAGCTCCGAAGGCCCAAGTTCCCCGTTTGGAAAGAGGGATGAGCCCCTCGCAGAGGCACCGAGCGTCCGGGGTGCCCATGCCCTGTGGCGTTGAGGCACCGGCGTGGAGCGAGGGGGTCGGAGGGCCCCCGGGCGCCCATCCTGGAGATGAGAGGGAGAATGCACCCAGCGCAGGCGTCCTTGGACTCCGTCCCCCTGGCCGCCAGTGGGGGCAGCTTCTGTTGCTCCCCTCCCCCGCAGAGGCAGACACTGAGGACACACGAGGTAGAGAACGTCCCCCAGACCATGAAGCTGGAGCGGGGCCAAGCCCGGACGTCCCTGGGGCGTCCCACTGCCCAGACGCCCCGTCCGCCGTGACCCAGGCCGGCCCAGCCCCTCTCCCCGGCTGTGTCCTTGGGGAAGGCTGTCAGGGGTCAGCGGGAGGGAAGTGGGTCCCCGCAGCGCGGGCTGACCCCCTCCCACAGTGAGCCTCCGGCGTCTCACCATAGTACACGGCGCCCCCTCCTCAGGTCGGGACTCCGTGAGCGGCTGTGCCCTGAGCTGAGGAAGAGTGTCACCCGTCCCAGTTACTGTGGGGGGGAGGGACACCCCGGGTGTGCAGACGGGCCTCGGGGCTGGGCTCAGCCTCCCCCCCAGGGCCGTACCCCTCCTTGCCTCCCTGGGAAGAGGAAGAGAACCACTCTTTCCTGCCTCTCCTGCAACCCGACCCCGCAAAAGACCCCCCCCGGGCGGGGCTGGGACGCCCCTCTCCCCTCCCCCACCCTGCCCGCACAGGTGTGGTCCTGGCCCTTGTACACCCAAGGGTCCCTGGATGGACACCTGTAAGCACAGGCCAGCTGGGCGTCCACACAGCCGGGTCCCGTGAAGGCTGCCTGAGTGGCAGTAGATTCCGTGTCACTGTGGACAGAAGTCGACTGCTAACGTCCAGCCGCCTGCGAGCTCCAGGTGCAGGCTGCGCCCTGCTGACTGTGAGCCTCCCCGCGCCAGCCAGGGGGGCTGCGATTCGGGGGTGTGACCCCCCCACCACCCTAGGCAGGGGTGAAGCCCAAACGGTTCTCTCCCTCCAGGCATCCATCGCTTTCCCTCTTTCCCTCTCCTCTCTCCCCCTGCCCCTGAGCCGGACCTTTGGAAAGAACCCCGAGCCCACGGGGCCCCCCAGCCTCCAGGAGTCCTTCTTGAACCTTGGACCCAACACAGACCATCAGCCAGGGAGGGAGGGGACCCTCTGCTTCTCCCGACCCCGCACCAGGCCCTGTGGAGCCGTCCCAGACTCTGCAGGCACAGCCCTGTCCTCGAACTGTGGGGCCCGTGCCAGCCTCACACTCTGGGGGGACCTCGTTCTTGCATGAAGGCGCGTGTCCAGGACTGACAGCAGAAATGGGGGGGAGGCCAGGAGGTCAGGTGCCGGACACAGGGCTCGGCTCCGAGCAGAGCTGGTGCGCAGCTGCTCACGGGGCACTTCCAACGTGGTTTTACTTATTTTCTCTTCTTGCCGAAGACCAGTCAGCTGATTAACCTATGTGCCCCCGGCCACCAGCAAGATCCCACTAGAGTTCTAGAATTTGGGTTGGGTGTTGGCGGCAGCCGCGCCACCCAACAGCTCTGCAGAGCCTTTTCGTGTTATTATAGCTTTTTTAACATTATTATAGCTTTTTTATTCATTTTTGAGAGAGAGGGAGAGAGCATGAGCGGGGGAGGGACAGAGAGAGAGGCAGACACAGAATCCGAAGCAGCTCCAGGCTCTGAGCTGGCTGTCAGCACAGAGCTCGACGCGGGGCTCGAACCCACGAACCGCGAGATCATGACCTGAGCCGAAGTTGGACGCTTAACCGACTGAGCCCCCAGGTGCCCGAAGATTTTAAATTCTTAAAGCTCAGTCCCACGTTTCTGTCTCATTGGCCTCCTAGAGCTCCTCAGGCAGACAGGGAAACCGAGGCAAGGCAATCCATGCAGAGCGGACCCCGTCGAGGCCCTGCCGCTGCCCGTCGGCCCACCCTAGGGCAGCCCCCTGCTGCAGGGGCGGGTGGAGGCCACGTGCAGGGCACCAGCAGGTTGGGGCCCAGCTGCCTGAGGCCGGGACTATGTCTACAGCCCCCTTCCCTCGGCCCCTCCCCCGTGCCCCCTCCCTCTGGCCCCTGAGGCCACCCCTCAGGTAAACACCTCATCTCGGGCTCTGTGCTTGGGGGGACCCAGACTAACGTAGAGCTGACCCGGTGGCAGCGCTGGAACCAGCCGGGGGAGGGGGGTCCTGGGCCCCCGGCCATGCTGACAGGAAGTCTCCCTGCACGCGGGCCATCAGAGGTGGAGATTTGTCCACAGGGAACCCCAGTGTGGCTCTGCCCTGCCCGGGACCCTGCGGAAGCGAATAAACATCACTCCCCTGGGCTCGAGGGGGGGTGGTCTTGCAACTTTCCCAGTCGCCTTTGCAAGCAGGCTGGGCCCCCCATCAGGCCCCCTCTACCCCCACAGACCGGGAGGCCTTCTGAGCAGGAAGGGTCTGCCCGGCCTTCCTGGGTCAATGACGGCCAGTGTTTCCTTCTCAAATGTCAGCTCCCCGAAGACAGGGCCACAGTGCGCCTGGTGTGCCAGCCCCAGGGCGGCGCTGCTCCGGGTGGGCACGCGGGCGGTCAGGACCCTCCCTGCCCCCCCACAGGCCCGCCCCTGACCCCCTGACGCACAGTCCATTTGTCTCCCCTCGCAGCTGCTGAACTCGCTGTCCGTGGACCCCGACGCCGAGTGCAAGCACGGCCTCTACTTCCGGGACGGCCGGCGGAAGGTGGACTACATCCTGGTGTACCACCCCAAGAGGCCGTCGGGCAGCAGGGCCCTGGCCAGGCGGGCGCAGCACGGCGACGCCGTCCCCGCAGCCCGCGGCGCCCGGCAGCACCAGCCGCTGCCCGGCAAGGGGGCCGTGGGGGCGGCGGGGGGGCCCGAGCCCCCCGTGGACTATCATGAGGACGACAAGCGCTTCCGCAGGGAGGAGTACGAGGGGAACCTTCTGGAAGCCGGCCTGGAGCTGGAGCGGGACGAGGAGGTAACCGTCCGCCTTCTGTGGGCGCGGGGCCCAGCGCCGTTTCCAGAAGGCGGTGCGCACAGGGTCCTTCCGGCCGCAGCCTGCTCTTCCACGAGGGCCGGTGCAAAGCTGCTGCTGCCAAGGCTGGGCAGAAGTCACGTGTCAAGGTTTGGGGGAGCCCCTGCTCTCCTGCTCTGGGGGAGGGGCTGGCCTTCAGGTCAAGGCATTCCCTGCTCTGGTCACGTCCCTTCCTGGGAAGACGGGCCCCTCCCAAGGGACGGAGGATGATGCTCTCCTGGAGACTGGCCTTGGCCCTTCTGGGGCCTCAGTTCCTCAGTCTGTCAAGTGGGGAGATCAGTCTGGCTTGATCCCTGAGGGCGCTGGTGCTCTGAAGCCCCCCGACCATAAAACCATTTTCTGGAGCGCCTGTCCCTGGCAGAGCCTGAGAATCGTTCGAAGGAGAGCTTGCTGGGGAGGAAGAACGGCTGAGTCCCGGGGTGCAGCACTGCCCTGGCGGCGGGAGGCTGGGCAGTGGCCGCGAGGAGGGCCCTCGGCAGCCCTTGGGACGGTCCGTGCTTCCTTCCGCCTCTTGGCAAGTTTGCTGTGCACTCCTCTGCCAGCGCCGCGACCTCTCTGTGCACAGGGCAGTGCGGGGTCCCTCCCGGGAGCACTGGCGGCAGGCCCCTCGCCCGCGCCGCCGTCACTGTGCAGACCAGCCGAGAATCAGCACAGGGCTCTACGGCACGTTAAGAGCAGTGAAAGTAGCCAGCGGGCTGCCCGAGGGGGTTGCGAGCCAACGCGGGTGTTTAAAAGCTGGATTCGGTGTGCCTTCCGTCACTGAGAACCGCCGCGTCCTCACGTGATGGTGCCTTGGGCCCGGGGAGCGGGAGCCTTGGGGACAGGCCAGTCAGTGAAGGAGCTGGTGTGCGTGCTCTTCGCGATGAGCCGAGAGCGCCGACCCTGAATCATCCAGAAATGCGCAGTGGGGCTGCTCTGACCCTGACCTGGTGCCGAGGGAGCTCGTGCTGCCCTCGGAGCGTTTCTCTGGGCAACTTTCTCTTTCGGAGGCTTGGCTTCCTCGGGGAGGGGGCTGGGATCCTGCTGCAGGAGTGGTTCTAAGGGGATGGCGGAGGTCTCTCTCGTTGGCAGGGCGCATATGTGCCCATCTCTTGGGCTTTTCTGTCTCCCTTTGTCTGAGCCCTGAGCCCTCGGCCTCTCGGAAGAAGAGAGTGGCCGGTCCCCAAGCAGCAGACGTCTGTGCAGACGGTGTGGCCGCTGTGTGGGCCCAGCTCTGACATGTCGCTGCGTGCCTGGAGAAGCAGGCGGGCTCCGTCGGAGGCAGGAGGGCTGCTGGGGGCTGCGTGGAGCTGCGAGCTTGGGCTCTGAGCGACGGGTGCCCGGTCTGTCGCTAGGGGAGGAGCTCTGTTCCCATCACTCTTACCCGACGACAGCCTGAGTCAGGCCCCCCGAGGCCTGGTAATGCGCACGGACTCTGGCCAGCTCCCAGAGCCTCGGCCTGTGCTTCGCAAGGCTTACAGAGTTGCGTGGGCCTCAGTTTCCCCATCTATAGAATGGAATGGCAGTGGTATTTACATCACTGGGTGTTGGCGATTAAGGCAAGGGGCTTAAGTCTGGTGCGCGGCAAATCCTGGGCTGTCGTTAACGTTAAATCACACGTGACGGTTCGTATGGACGGTGAAAGAAAGGAGCCTTTCCAAGTCCAGTCAACGGCGACACACATACCTTTCTTGAAACTTCATATTCTCCATCATGACTTTGAAGCTAACATAGAAGGGGCGCCTGGGAGCCCAGTCAGTTCAGCGTCCGACATCAGCTCAGGTCATGATCTCGCGGTTCGTGGGTCCGAGCCTCGTGTCGGGCTCTGTGCTGACAGCTCAGAGCCTGGAGCTGCTTCGGATTCTGTGTCTCCCTTTCTCTGCCCCTCCCTAGCTGACGTGAGCACTCTTTCCCTTTCAAAAATGAAGAAATAAATTTAAAAAATAATTTTTAAAAATATTAAAAAATAAAAAATAATAATTTTTAAAAAAGCAAACATCGACATGGTGCTTACAGTCCCTCCAAAAGATCCCATTTTCCCAACAAGTGACCCAAGAATTTCATTGAAAGTTTTGCTCTGTGGCTAAAAGAGGCTTTTCAGTGATGGATTTGGGCCATTTTAAAAGTGAAAGTGGGGCTGGGCGGCTCAGGGCTGCCTCGTCTCCCTCCTGGGGTCCCTCAGGCCCTAAACCGCATTTTACAAGGGCCCCTCCCATCCCTGAGCTTTCATCTGAGATGAACAAGGCCCAAGGCTGTTGGGAAAACCGAGTCTGAGTCTGCCGCAGCGGGGTGCCTCCCCCCTTCCCCGCCCCCTCCGCCCCTTCCGGGACTCGGCGGGACCAGAATGTGTCCAGAGGCGGTTTGCCGAGGTGTGCACCGGCCCCGCCAGTGTGATTAGCAGATTGCGGTTGTCGCCTTCATTTCAGGGAGAGGCTTCCTGGCTAATGAACCATTCCCCGGGGTGCGTTCCAATCATGAGCAGCGAAGGGCTGGCAGCTTTGGAAATAGGATGGCCCCCAGGGGGCCTGACCGCGCAGTCGTACCCGATTCGAAGCAGAATCGGGGCTCGCGTGCGCTTTCCTGGGGAGAAAAGTGCACGCGTTTCTTCGTTACTCAGAGGCCCGGGGAAGGTGGAGTCGTTCCTGAAGGCGGGGCCTCTCTGCCGCGGCTCCCGTGCTGTGTGGAACTTAACAGCAGCCCTGGCCGGTGGCACCCCCAGGTCGTGACAACCGAAATGCTCCCAGGTGCCAGATGTCCCGCGTTAGAGCCTGGCTGGGGAGGCCGAGGAAAAGCGGGAGGGAGAGAATTGGGGCTCGGGGCGGGGGGCAGGGCGAGGGAGAGAGAACCTCAAGCAGACTCCACATTCAGCATGGAGTCTGGTGTGGGGCTCGATCCCACGACCCCGGGATCATGACCTGAGCTGAAATCCAGAGCGGGACACTCAACTGCCTGAGCCGCCCGGGGGGCCCAGTCTGCTGGCCCAGCCTTCTGAGGCCATGACCAGGCAGCCGTCTGGAGGTCACCAGGGCACGGACGTGACCTGCCTCTGCTCTGCCAGAGGCCGGTGGGCGTGCGAGGCCGCACAGAACAGGCTGCCAGCCCAACACCGACGGGCCGTGTGCACCCGCCTTTCTCCGGAGTCAGGAGGCTCATTGTTTTGAAGCCGTCCTGGCTGCGGGCACAGTGCGGGCCGGGTCTTGGGGACGCGGAACAGTTAGTGCCCTGGGGCAGCCCTAACACGACCACAAATTGAGTCTCTCAGTTTTGGAGACCAGGTGGCCAAGATCCAGGTGTCGGCAGGGCTGTGCTCCCTCTGAAGGGTTCAAGCGCAGGGTCCTCCCTGTCCCCTCAGTTAGGGGCTCCACGCCCCCCCGCCTCCGCCTCGCCTCCCACGGCCGCCGTCTGTGTCTCCTCTGCTGGTAAGGGCCCGCCCTGCGCCTGCGTGGCCCCGTCTTAGCTTGAGCACCTGCAAAGTCTTCTATGCAAAGAATCTTCCGCTCTGAGATTCCGGGCTTGGGACGTGGATGTCTCCTCTGGGGCATGTCCTCAGCTCACGACACCCACCAAGGAGAGCGGGGGCGCCAGCAGTGGGCGAGGGAGGCGTGGCTCGTGGTCTGGGGCGGGTGGTCTGGAGGGCGGGGCCCTGCTGTCCACACAGCCTGCAGGCGGTCCTGTCAGAAAGCATGCGGCGACCTGACCCGCGTTTCTTTTCTGTTTATTTTTTAATTTTTTTTTATTTCTGAGAGAGAGAGAGAGAGAGAGAGACAGCGTGAGCAGGGGAGGGACAGAGAGAGAGGGAGACACAGAATCTGAAGCAGCTCCAGGCTCCGAGCTGGCAGTCAGCACAGAGCCCGACGCGGGGCTCGAACTCACGAACCGCGAGATCATGACCTAAGCAAAAGTCGGACCCTTAACCGACTAAGCCACATTCATTCTTAATTCTATCTTTGGTAAATAATTTGATGTACATTTATTAATGAAATCTCTGAGGTGTAAAGCTGTCCTCCACAATTTGTTTTGATGGTTATTTTCCATCCTTCTAAAAAACCTTTGAGATAGTATTGTTTGAAATGGGTATGGCTCTCTGCAATGTTTTGAAACATAATTTTTATCATACTTTCCTGGCTTTATTACAGAGCAATGTTCAATTTTGAATGCCATTATGATTCTAAGAACTTGGAGAGAACTGAAACCAAGGATGAGTAATTCAGCCAACAGTATAAACTTGTGAAATTTAGGTTCAGAGTACAATNTGGGCCCCCCCCCCCCCCCCGCTACCTTCCCCCAAGCCCTGTGAAAACTCCTTCCCAGACTCCTAGAAGGGCGGGAGCCTTGGACGGGCCTCGGTGCCAGGATCCAGAGGGTGGCACGGGGGTCCAGGAGGCTCCAGGAGGGCTCCCGTGTCAGAGCACCCAGGACGGCATGACAGGAAGCAGCAGGAAGGGAGGGCAGTGTCTCCCCATCCGTCCGTCCCCACCCACAGCAGTGGGGTCAGCGTCCGGGCTTCCCATTAAACGGAGGAGAGGGAACTGAAATCCATCAGCATTTTTCAAGTCTGGCCTCAAAGCCTGCGGACATTATTTATGTCCGTGGGTCACTGCCGAGAAGGCCACACACTCAAGTCCCGGCCATGTGTGCTGGGGTGGCCGGGGCCCACTACGCCCCGGGGTTGAACTTGACCCTGGCTTTGGCAGGGCTGTGGAGGCTGCGGATGGGGGAGCCCTGTGACATCTGTTTGCTCTCATGCTGCTGCTTGGGGCGTCACCTCTGCACCCGGGCTGTGGCCAGCATTCGTGTCCCAGAGCTGGCGTGGCCCTCTGAGGCAAGGGTTTCCCATCTCCGTTAGCGTGGATGTTGCTCTTCAAAAGCAGGTCAGGAGGAGTGGTCACCGTTTCCAGGCCGAGCTTCAGGGCGCACAGTGGGGCGGTGAGGTCGGCCTCCGCGCTTCCGGTGAGCTTCAGACT